CCTTTAAGATCAGAAGTCGCACATTGGGACAAGCCACTCCTTTCCTTGCCCCTTGTCGCATGGTAACTACGCAGGATTAGAGCCCGCCGCTTCTAGGTGGCTATCGCTATTCCTTTGATGAGTGGGCCTTTGGTAACCTCTTTGGCGAGTCTAGCTACTGGGACATGAGCCTTAAAATAAAGAGACAAAAATTATGACTAAGAACCTTTTAATAAACTCTCGATGCCAGGGCAAGAATGCAGGTCCAGAATGGGCAGCAGGTGATGTCACATAGCTGGAGTGCAGTCTCGACAGAGTCAAGTACTGTGTAGTGCGTATACCCCACATCGCATTTCGGAACCTGAAATCGAACAATTTAACTGCCTCCTGATGTTTTGATGAATTTTTTTAAAGCACATTGTCTTCTTAAGCGCTCTGCAGGGAGCCTCACTTTCATGTTTTAAGCACAGAAGATCTCTAAAAGAGGCATCGATATGATTGAAAGAGACGTTGTCAATTACCTTGGCAATTATAAATGGACAAATTTCTGATAACTGAGCCACCGTGACGATTCCGATTATCTGTGTGTTATGATCAGGAACGTAGGCTGACCAATGGCTAAGCAGCAGTTCATTACTCGAGCCAGTGAAAAGCTACTTTGAACTCTGAGCGCCGGACTTTGATTTTCTACGTAGTTAAAAATGATTGGAAATAATTTTCTCAGATCTGGTGGTATATCACCTATTGTACCGCCAAAAACGGTTCTTCAAATCATTGTAACAAACCTGTTACGTTCGTCGTCAGTCATCATACGAAATTCTTTACGATATGCTTTACCGTATACTTGACCGTCCGGCAGCACACATCGGTTATTGGAGTACCTGCCTGGAATCAGCTTCACCTCACTCAATGACTACACAAATGCTTCCAGGCAAAAGGAACTCGATGTCTTCAATGCAGCATTTTTTTGCTTTACACTTTTCCTGACTGCAGCTTTTCTCCTTGAAGCAAGGTCATAAGGTCATGGATTCAAAGGCACAGTTCACGTAAATTCTGAACTAATTAGCTTAAGAGAAGCAATGGTGCAGAATAGTGCAAAAATGACGAAGAAAGGGCGAAAGTTGTCGGAATTCAAGAAATATTAGGCCTCAAGATAGTAAGAGGGAGTGTTGTTCGAGATTATGTGCCTGTAACCGCCTAGGTGTCTCCCAAATAGGCGTACTCCTAGTCGGCGTCTCATTGTGAATGGTACAGCCTTGAGAAGGCCGTTATAACACTGCCGCTTTTAGATGTTTGCGCCGGCCAAGCTTGCTTTGCAGCCTTTATAACGAACTGTCGAGGTCGTTTTTCGAACCGAATGTCACACTTGCTATCCTCGGGGCTTCAGGCCCATCTCAAGGGTAAACCTCAGAGACCATTTTTATCGTTAATTGTGCCTTTAACTTTTCAACGGGCATATATCACAGGCTAACGGACACTTTCGTGAAACATGATGGTTCTTACAATACTGATAAATTTCTTCATATCGCCAGACGACTGGCCATGATTGAATCGCTATATTTTTAAGATCAGAAACCTTAATACATTGAGGCCCGAGATTCGAGCCTCATCTTCAAAATTTCGCAAGGCTCGTACCTCTAGCAAACTGGCATATACACTGAATGCTCAGGCATTGATTGCGTTCGGTCGGTTCTGAGAAAATGTCGGATGCCTGAAGCGACGAAGCGAAGGGACTTGAAGCCGCAAAACCAACTGGAGAGAGGAGTACGGCGTCCTGTTCCTAAAATGACTGCAATTGAGCGCATTGCTAATTTTGAAAGATGTTTAATGTACTTTCCCTGGAATTTCCATCCCACCATATGATCTGCTCGCAGAATACTCTTGGATTCGTCTGAATGCAGGCTTCAAAAGCTGGATTGGACGGAGGTGCCTGACCGATTCCATCAGGCATCGTCCCCGTTTCAATTGGAGGCTGGGTAGGTGGTGGTGACTGGAGGGGAGTGGGTCGGGTAGGTGTTGGTGGCTGGTAAGTTGTATTACGGCCATTTGGGGACTGGGTTGGTGACGCTGGGCTGCCTATTGGCGTTGTACCCGTTATAACAGGGGGCCGGGTAGGTAGCGTTTCAATAGGAGGCCGGGTAGGTAGCGTTCTAACAGGAGGCCGGATAGGTGGCGTTCCAGCAGGGGGTTGGGTAGGAGGCGGACGAACAAGGGGTCGGGTAGGAGGCGGACTAACAGGTGGTGGTGACTGCCGGGGAGTGGGTCGTGTAGGTGCTGTTGGCTGGTAAGTTGTATTACGGCCAATCGGGGATTGGATTGGTGAAGCTGGGCCGCCTACTGGCGTTGTAGCCGTTCCAATAGGGAGCCGGGTAGGTAACGTTTCAATAGGAGGCCGGGTAGGTAGCGTTCTAACAGGAGGCCGGGAAGGTGGCGTTCCAACAGGGAGCCGGGTAGGTGGTGGTGACTGGAGGGGAGTGGGTCGGGTAGGTGCTGGTGGCTGGAAAGCTGTAGGATAGCCATTTGGGGTCTGGGTTGGTGGAGCTGGGCTGCCTACTGGTGGCCGTACAGGTTGTGGTTTATACGCTGGCGGTTTCGCAGCAGGTGGTCCTGGTATTTGAACTGGAGATACTTGACTAGGTGGTTGCCCCACTCTCGGTAATCCATCAGGAGCTCCATCCTCATACCCAGCAGAGGCAATTTGAGGCAAAACAATGATGAAGAGGAGTAGTCGCCTCATAGCAGCCGAATAAGTTGATGGCTGCCTTCCTTGGCTGGCAGAAGTAGTAACAGTGATAGTGTTACTTGGATAATTACTTTACAATTAGACAAGACCAACGACCGAAGCCGATAATCTCCGCCTATCAGTCGCTGCCATTTCGATATTCAGCAGGTTGTACAAGTTTCGTAATCACAACAACTTTTACATGGAACGGTAAGGAAGTAGGAGACATCAGTG